AAATACTGGCAAACTAGAAATGGAGTCTCTCCCTAATGTCATTATGAACTCAGCTTCAGTGGAAACTTTGGCTATACAAAGTTGATTGGATGAGGGCTTGAAGTGACAAACTATTTATTTTCCAAGTCTGAGTTGAATATTTTTTTTTTTTTTTAACTTGCTTAAAATAAGCATACAAAACTCCCTCAGGTTAAATGTGTCCACCTCAGACATTTGTGTTTAGTTTAGAATACTTTGCTGATACCCAGAAGTCTCCAGTGGCATCTCAGAGCTCAGCCCTGTCGGGGCAAGGATCACAAGAGCCTACACAGTGTCTACTGATGGAGCAACGATCCCCTAAACAGACAATACAGCTTCATGCTTTATCCTGGTACAGCTCTTTCCAGTGTGATGCAGTGCTTACAAACACATATCACCCACTCACCAGTGCCACCAGAATACCAAAACCTGCTTTGCCCTTTCTTCTGGAGGGAATATATTCCAGGAGAACCTGAAACACTGAGATTGAAACAGGGGAAAGGAAAGGAGACAACGGTATCCAGAAGCTGCAAGAGGAGAGCAGGGCTTTGTTTGCAGGGTGCTGAGTCTTCAGCCCCGTGTCCACTAATAATTTAATTTGAATAAAATAGCATCTCAAAGAAGCCAAGACTGTTAAGGAAAGAACCATATATGAACACGCATCATTTGAAGGGGTCTACAGTGATTTAAGGCAAGTAAAGACTGGATCTACATAAGCCGGACACTCATATCTACAAAAAAATACTAAATTTGGGTTAAGGGGACCAAATTTGGCTTAAGTGGAATATGCCTTTCATCCCCCCTTCGGATTTTATTGAAAATTTTATTGCAATTCTTCTATCTTTATTAGTGGGGAAGAAAATTGGTATGTTTTAAAATTGTTCCCACTGTTGTGACTATAAACTTCCTGAAGATTTTAGCCTGTTTGCAAGAGATTGAGTAAAATAAAGATTTTTTTTTTTTAGGTCAACATTTTCTTCTGGCAGACTGAGCCTGAAGTGCACTTTATTTCCCTTTAATTTAACAGCTCCAGCAGCTTTTCCAGTTAAATCGACTGTTCATTATTGAGCCCATTTATGAAGGGCTGTGCAGTGCAGTTTAATGAATCCCTGGCACAAAGCTCCCTTTCAGTGTAGGGAAAGAATAGCAGCCTATTTAGGTCCTGTAGGGCTGTATGTCAAAGGCTGCCTATAATACTTGTCAGGGAAGGGCAGAAATTCCCACTGATATAAGAATGTGCAAGAAATCAACTTTCACAACCAACTCGCCGATTAAGACACGATCAGGAAATGAGACTGTAGGTTGGGAGTGGTGACACCTGTTTGGGCAGCCAGATTTTCCCATAACTCGATAACCATATGGGCCATACAATCAGGAAGAGAAAAAAAAATCCTCCCTCCCCTGTCACAGAGATTTTCTTACTTTCACGCTGCCTTCCTGATGCCATGATGAAAGGAAAATGAGTGTTGTGAATTGTGAGGGCTGGGCTCAGTGCTGGATTTGGTTTGCCTTCTCTAGGGGAAGGTTTTGCTAGTGTTCATAGAATCATGGAATATTTTGGTTTCGAAGGGACCTTAAAAATCTAGTTCCAACCCCCCTGCAATGAGCAGGGACATCTTCAATGAGATTAGATTCCTCAAAGCCCCATCCAACATGGCCTCGAATATTTCCAGGGATGGGGAATTCACCACCTCTCTGGGAAACCTGTGCCAGTGTTTCACCACCTTCATTGCAAAACATTTCTTCCTTGTATCAGCCTGAATCTACTTTCTTCTAGTGATGAGGCACAGCATGAGACGTTTCCTTCAGGCTGAATCCTAGTGGGATCCTGCCCCTGCATGGTAAAGGATTTATCCTGATGTTGGACACTGAGAGAGGCAGCCCCACAAGCACCAGGAGGGCAGATAGAATTTCTGCAACTGTCTCCAGTGAGGAACTGCACCACAGAAATGCTGGCACTGTAACACAGCCCTCAGATGTGCAAGGCTTCCTTGCTTCCGTGAGTTGCTCTCTCCTTTCTGGGCCACTTGGTCTGTAAGGATAACAAACCGCCCTTCTCGCGAAGGGCCTGATCGTGTGGGCATGAGCTCAATCTGTGGCCTGTGCGAAGCATTAGTGACCACAGCATGTCACTGCTCCCTTTGCTTCACAGAGTGACTGTGCTGCCACTAAAAAAGCTAAGATTGGTGCCGAGGGCATCGCTCTGGAAAGCTGGTTTAATTTGGTTTAATTCCCAAAACCGGTTGAGATGATGCTCGCTATAATGAGCAAGAAAATGAAAGAAAAAAGGATAGACTTTCTACACAAAAGTGGGCAAGAAAGTACAGTAGAGCCCCTGGGGCCCCTCAGTGAGTGCTAAGTCCTCTCCTGTGGGATGGAGGTTGGTGAGGGACGAAGCACTTCTGCAGCAACTTCACTCACCTCAGTCTGATGGGGGAAGAGCGGAGGGACAAGGATATTGTGGTCCAAAATTTCACTTAGGGTTGGGGTTATTTTGTGGGTCTGATCCCAGCATTTCCTGGGCGTTAGGCCCTGCCAGTGAGCTGAGATGGATCACTGGTGGGGCCTGAGAGTCACCCTGCATGGGCTAAACATCAGCATCCTGAAGGAGCAGAGGCAGAAGACAAGCATTCGCTCATACAGTTGATGGAAAAGAGAGATGTTTTGCAGAAATAACCAAACTTCTATTTTCTTGAAAAAAAAAAAAAACAATTTTCTTTGCAAGTTGTTGACATCATGTGGCTTAGCAAATTTCCCCCCAGGCATTGCCCAACTTGGGGTAATCAGCTCTGCCTGAGAGAACACAGAGAATAAGCATGTTTAATGCAATTATGAAGGCTTTTTAAATCTCCAGATTGGGTTGAGAATATGTAAATTTGGCTGCTTAGCACAACTGAATGCAAACTTTCCTTTGCATGCCTGACAATTGTTTTAATACTCTCCAAGTTTTAGGAGGTAATAAAGTCTCCCGCTAAACCGTAGCTGAGCTCTCAAAGCTGTTTAATTGAATGAATTCAGCCTTACAGAAGAGAAGCCAGGGCTTTCAGCTCTTTTTTTTATCTAAGCCACCGGATATTTAGCCACTCTGCATATAATACCACCCAGACTCATTAACAAACCCTTTAGACGGGGTTATTGCAGGAATATTGCTGCTATAATGCTGAAGCGGATACTGATTTGAGGACAACTTCGTTGCCTCTCTGTTTGAGTAATTTCATGTTGCTTACATAAGGAAGGGTCCCAAACTGGTTGTACATCCAGCAAAGAATAGTGATCCCCATTTTCTAGACCCATGTGCGCTTTGAAGTAGCCTCACAGTGGATGCAAAACTATCTAGTGGAGCACACAGGGGATGCATATGTTGTTCTTTACATTTCTGCATCAATAAGGGAGCTCGGAGCAGGCTGCAAAGCTTGACAGGGCTTGACAGGGCCTGAGGGTAACAGCTCGGGTCACTAATCCCCATCAGTTGTATTCGAGCTAAGTAGTTTAAATCCACCTTCTGTGTAGACATACTCATTCTGACATGGACAGATATATAGATTTCCCATAGCCCTCTGCCTACCAGGGTTTTTTTTTCTTCAATTACACAGTTGTACTCAGAGCAACTCCCCAGATAAGTGACTCTGGGAGGGTCCAGTTATTTTGCAAAGGTTTTGCAAAGGACACCTGGTCCAGATCTGCTGGCACCAGAGCCAAGGCCATACCTGGGACTGGGAGGCTCTGCCTGCCACTGGGACCCTGCTGAGACCTGCTGAGATTCTGGTGAGAGATCAAGAAAATCGGCATTTTTGTTTTGTAGATGATCTTGAGCCTTTTTTTCCTCTCACGACATATGTGGTTTCTCTTCTTTTCTTGCAATACTTTTTTTTTTTTTGCAATACTTGCTTTTCATTCAACAAGTGTTTGAAACCACAGTGAGGTGAATTTAGCTGATTTTTCCATTTTACCACTAAATACAGTCCCAGGAGCCTGTTTCCCTTCTCTTCTGCATAGTTTTCCTTTCTGCTTTTTTCCTTCCTATACAAAACTGCTGCATGAATTGATGCAGATCATAAACATTCACTTTATTTCATTCACAACCAGATACGGATTTTCATTCAAATTTGGATGAAAAAAATCACTGAAAATATGTCTGGGGCTGGATTGAGGGTTGTTCTGCATCAGTGGAAGAGTTTTCTGAAGGAAAATAGAAAAAAATACCTTTCCCCCCACAAAAAAAGGACAATTTTTCTACCTTCCACGTGAAAGTGTTATATTGCTGCCTCCCTAAATCCATGCAAGACCATAAGCAACCTGGTCTAGTGGAAGGTGCCCCTACCCACTGTAGGGGTGTTGGACTAAGATGATCTTTAAAGTCCCTTTCAAAACAAACAATTCCAGTATTCTCTGATTTCAACTGAATGCACCTCAGTAATTTGAAATCTCTACTGGATCACAGCACTGGATTTTCTCAGGACTTGCCTAGGAACACACTATATTCTGTGTAACGTGCATACCAATAAGCTTGGAAAAAACCACCCTGTACATAGTAATTTTGGTTTGTGCATACTGGCGGCCGTCAGAGCAAGAGCATGTCCCCATGCCAGAGCGCCCAGTGCCCTGCAGGTGACCCAGCACCACTGGTCCTGACGCCAGGTGAGGAACACGTTTTCTGCCGGCTGAGCAGCTGCAGGAGTGGGGACAAGACTGATGGGGTCTGGGGGATGCTGTGCACCTGCTCCGGGGTGACTGTACGTGTCTGCTCAGGGGACGCCCGTGTACCTGACCCAGGGGGTGTGTGACTCCGTCCCCGGAGTGATGCTCGTCCCGCCCCGCCGCGGCCGCGGGGGTCGGTGGGTGGGTGGGTCGGTGGGTGCAGCCGGCCCAGCCCCCGGGCACCCAGCGGGGGAGGGACGGGCCAGCCCAGCTCTGATCCCTCCTCCTCCTTCCCCGCCTGCCGCCTTTTCCTCGCTGCCGCCGCCGCTATCGCCCGTCGCAGCCCGGAGCCCGTCGGAGCTCGGGGCGGCGGCGTTCGCCGCCGGCCATGGCCGCGCCTGCCGCGCTGCTCAGCCCGCACCACCTCCTGTCCTTCTGCTTCCCCGCCGCCGGCGGGCTCCTGGGCTATGCCGACCTGGAGAAGGGCTACGAGGGCGGCGGTGGCGGCGACGCGGGGGACTTTAGAGAAGCCACCCGGGACCTGCTGAGCTTCATCGACTCGGCCTCCAGCAACATCAAGCTGGCGCTGGACCGGCCGGTGAAGTCGCGGCGGAAGGTGAACCACAGGAAGTACCTGCAGAAGCAGATCAAGCGCTGCACCGGCATCATCGCCGCCGCCGCCCCGCCGCCCGCCGCCTGCCCGCCCGCCGCCTGCTCCGCCCGGCCCCCGCCGCGCCGGGAGCCCGCGCAGGCGGCGGGCAGCAGCCTGCAGAGCAAGAGCCTGGCCGCCCTCTTCGGCTCCCTGCAGCGGGGTCGGGGCGCGGCGGGCGGCGCCGAGGCCAGGGCGGGCGGTGGCGGCGGCGGCGAGAAGGCGGCGGGCGGCCCGCGGAAGGTGCCGCTGCGGGACCGCAACCTGCCGCCCTCCTTCTTCACGGAGCCGGCGCTGCCCGCGCCCGCCGCCCGCGGGCCGCCCGCCAAGGAGCCGGAGAAGGGCGGCGGTGGGGCTGCCGAGGCGTCCGAGTTCTTCGAGCTGCTGTGCCCAGAGTACGGCGCGCTGCTGCCCGAGCACGCCGCGCCGCCCGATGCCTTCGGCGGCCGCCTGCCCGCCGAGCTGGGGCTGGAGCACGGGCTGTACGAGCTGCCGCTGCCCGCCGGCCCGCACCCGCTGCTGGGCGGGCTGCTGTACCCCGAGCCGCCCTGGAGCCCGGCCGCGCCCTGCAGCCCGCCCAGGAAGGCGCCGCCCGAGCCGCTGCGCCCGCTGTACCCCGGCGGCCCGGAGCCGGTGCCCGGCGGCGGCGGCAGCACCGAGGAGCCGGGTGGGCACCTGCCCGCGGGGTTCGCCCCCTTCTTCCCCGAGTGCCCGCTTGCTCCGCCGCAGCCGCCCTACGACTACGGCGCTGGGTACCCCCGCACGGGCTACCCCGGGCTGTAGGGCGGCGGGGCTCGGGGTCCGCCGGGGCGGGGCTGACGGACGCTGGGGCAGCCCGAGGGCCACACGGGGCTCCGCACACCCGAAACCGCGGCCACGGCTCCCGCAGGATCCAGCCTTGTGCGCTGCCTCCTCCTCCTGCGGTTTTGGGGGACGCTGCAAATAAAATGTGAAACTTTGGGTTCCTTCAGGTGTTTTTGTAGCGGCCGGTGCCCCCCTTTTTCGTCCTCCTTCGTAGGGGGCCAGGACTTGGCTGTCTGTAGGCGGACGCGTTGGTGTACCTGTAGGTACCTGGGGACGAGGGCTGCACTCCTCAAAGGCCGTGGTGACCGCTCGTCAGTGATTTCAGTCTAAACCTAAAGCTCACGTCAACATTTGGGGTGCGTTTAACATTTTTCCCGGGCTCGTGTTCATCACAAGTGCTGGCAGGTGTTCAGCTGAGGTCGCAAAGGCAAGAAAATTGAAGTGAAGCAAAATTAAAAATGCTGCTACCAAAACTCAGTGTCCTGAAATTTTAACAACGTCTTGCAGGATCTTGCAAACGGCAGTTTAAAGCGGTACGTGAGTTAATTGATGGCTTAAGTTCGGGACAAAAATTTACTGTAACTACTGCGGCCATGTGATTCCTACAGACTGCTGGATTTCTTCCAGGAATGTGTCAAAGCTCAGAAAGCAATGCGGCTCGGTCTCATTGTGTACAGGAGATTATTTGATAATCATTTAAGTTATGTAAAAGAGTCTATGATAGGTCCTATAAAAATAAAGCTACACAATAGATCCGAGATCTGTGGTTGTTACTGCCGTTGAAACGCTCCGTTCACGGGGCTTTCACCGCGCCTCCATCCTCTGTAATGGTTTCTTGGCAGGAGTTAAGACAGGCAGTGGGTTTTGTCTTTCCTAAATCTTTTGAAATGCCGTATTTTATCCACAGCGACCCGTGCTTGTTTTGCCTTCATTTGTACCGACTGTTTCTGTAACTTAGTAGAAAGAAAGGAGCGAAAATACACTACAAAGGCAAGGGATGAAAATTGTTACAGTTATGAAAACAGATCAAACTTCTCGGAGGTTTCCTATTGAGATGCAAGTTTTCAAAGGCAATCCTGCAGTCTGGCTCCTTGCCAGTCCCAAGTGGATTGTTTGTTTTTGAAACGGGATCCACATACGGATCAGCCTGGGGTTTTACCCTCGGTGGTGACAAATCCTTATGCCTTCTGCCTTTTAAAAGATAATGCGGAAGGTAAAGCAGTTTTTCTTCATTCTTCAACCCAGTTTTAACTTTTCAGGCACTTGGGGTTAAGATGGTGGGAAGTGTGGAGAGGTGAAGGAAAATATTTTGGAAATAAACGGAGGTAATGTTTTTTAGACAATGGTTTAATTTTACTTTTAAACAGCAAAAGCTGTAACTGCTGCTGCCAATTTCCTCCTCAAAAGCTGCCCAAGGTCTCCACAAGCTGTATGCAAAGGAACCACTGTGGATGAAGGTCCACAACACTCCAGCACCCTGATGGTTGAGTGCTGTTCAGGACATGCACTTTTCAAGAAGAGTTTTGCAGTAGTTTATTTCACTAAGCTTCACAAGAGTGTGTATTAGGATAATTGGGCAGCCTGTCCAGCCAAGGTAGCTACAAATTAGGTTAATCCTGCCCTGCTGCTGGTTTTGATGATGGGACAATGTCCTACTCTGTGAGTTTGGTCCTGCCTTCTTCACTTGGGCAAACCTCCCAGTTTGCATTCAGGAGCTGTGTGCTGCCAGCTCCCAGCAGAGCTTGGGCCTAACTGCATTTGAGACTGCCTAGGCAAGACTAGCTAGGGGATTATTTGTTATTTCGCTTGGAGATGTGTTTTTATTTTTGCTTTTTTTGTTTTGTTTTGTTTTGTTTGGGTTTTGTTTGTTTAGCGACTGCTTCACACATGTGAATTTGGAGCACATATTGGCAGCTGCTTGGAGTATTTCAGCTTGATGGTGCTGTGCTAATAATCTTGTTGCCCAGCTTTTCTCACCTGAGCTGTGCACCCAAGATCTGTGCTTTCAGCAGACCAGACAAAGGATGGGGGTGATGATAATGCAGTGGCCACTGCTAAGGAAAGAAACCTTTTTTTCATTTAGGATGTATTTATCTCAAAAGCTCAATATGCAGATATGTATTAACTGGGGAGCTAATCCGGATAGCCTGTCCTGTCAGCTCTCTGGTTTCAGGTGTCTTTCACTGGCTCACAGGTTTCAGTGGGATTTTGTTCAAATAATGTCAAAAAGAGGTCTTCAGGAATAGATTCTGGGATAAACATTGCAAACCTGAATGGTTTGGTTGCCCTCAGGTCTCAACTTTTTTCCCAAGTGGCCATGAAGTGCCATGTATCTGACCTGCCAGTGTTTTTCACTTATTTGGTGTTCTGCTGCCTTATAGGTGGTGCTATGGTGCTCAGAAGCTGAGCATCATCAGCCTTCTTGGCTTAGACCTTGTCTAAAACCAGTGGAGAAGTGGCCCTGTGGTTGTCAGCAGAGCTGGGCTGGTACAAGGCTGGCATGGCAGCCCATTCCCAATGCTGCCAGGTTGGAAGGGTTCTTTGTGGGTTTGCAAGAAGTTGGGGGCAGGATTCAGGAGTCAGCCTGACTGAGCAGCAGTTGCAGATGTTTCTTCAACTTAGCCTCTATCCTGCAACAGTTCCTTAAAGAGGGATGTTCAGTTTATAGGAGCTTGCAGTGAAATAAAAAAAAAAAAGAAATCTAGCCTCAGTGTTCTTCGAAGTATGGCTATATTTCTGCCAGAAGATATATTTGTATTTGAGGAGTACCTGGCATGAGAAGACTAATAAGGATGGAAAGGAGCTGACAACACAGACCAAACAAAAGACTTATGTGTAACTCCTGAGGAGCAGTGGAGCCCCTCTCTGCACTCTGGGGGTGGTGAGGGCACCCGATCAGCCCAGGGATTGCCATCTAGTGAGGCTGCATCTTCGATCTCCTTTGTGCATGTGTGGGCTCTTTTTGTTGGTTGTTTCCCCTAGCTTGAATAGTGCAGGCACTGAAAACATCACCTAACAGTCTCGCTCAGAAACACCCTTAAGAAACTGTTTTCTCTGAAACACTAAAGAGCATCATCTGAAGAATCTGCAAGAATAAAAGCTTTTGTAATTGAGCAAGATATTTTGGGGTTTTTGATGCACTTTTATGAGGAGTCTGTCCAAATGAACTAAAGCTGATTCTTTTTAGCTTTTCAGTCTGAAGTGTGTCCCTTTGAAAGGAAAGGGGCTCTGTTTGGTTGGATCGAGGTCAGACTACCAAACTATTTCACTTTACAAAGCCTGCACTGAGTTCCTCAGATACACTAAACTCCATTTTGCTGCGGGTGTATTTTACATGTATTACCTGATTTTACAGGAGATTTTGATGATAAAGCATACACGGATTAATTTCATGTGTAGTCAAAGTTGATAAAGGGGAATGACAAGAACCCTTCATTCTCTTTTTTAAATGAGGGAATCTTACCTTACCTTAGTGATTTACTGATGAGTAACTAAGGGTTCGCCATGAATAGTGATTAGATTTTCTGACATCTCAGGATTTTCTGACAAACATCTGTGTCTTTCCCAAAGCAACTTCCAGAAAATGTTTTTTAAAAACAGGCTCATTAACTATTTCATGGCCTGAGCTTGGGATTGCTCTAATACAGCCTGACCATTGATGATGAGTCACCTGGGATGAGTTTACATGGTTGATCAAACCGTGTTAGTAAAAAAGATACAGACGTTTATTGTAAACTCTTTTTGTTTTCTGACTTTTAAAATAAACTGCATTTGGCAACAGTGAAAAAACTGAAGGTGATTCTGCAGTTATTGGCAACAGGAGAGAAAAAAAATTGGTGGATCAATTCTGTAGTCATGTGCAAGAAACTTATCTGGGAATGTGACAGTTCAAGCCTACAAACCTCTCTGAAATAAGAGGTGGGAGTGCTTTTAGGATAGCTTTGTGTCAGCTGAAAAGCCTTGTGAACACTTGCTTAAAATCCAGTGGTTTGTAACATATTTACATAAAAGAGTAAAAATACAGTTTATTATAGTGACCCACTCTCCCAGAATCTGTGTGGGTAAAGATTGGCAGAGGATTGCTGAAAGGTGATGCTGTGAATATGGATGGTGAGGGGAGAACTCTTTTCTCTGTTTTATGATATTTTTCAATATCTCACTGTAACCTTGATTATCCCCTCTTGCTGGCAGAGAACTACTTCACCAGTCTGTAGGTTTTTAGCTTTTCATGTTTTTTTGGATCCCCTCCATATGAAAGGTAAATGTACTGTCAAAGCCTTATTTTCCAGGTTGTAGTCCACAGACCCACAATTGTCCAGAGATCACAGACTCAACATCACTGCATTGCTGGCAATGGGAAGTGTTTTTAGTTGCTTGAATTGGCCAGTGTGGGATTTGAGGAATACGCAGCATTTCCCAAATGATCTTTCATCTCTCCTTCTCTGAAACGGAGGAATGACATCTTATTTATACAATCTTTGTCACCCTCCAGAGGCAGCTAAAACTCCACAATTAACCCTGTGCTCTCTCTAGGTATTCCCCAACAATGCTGGGCATATAAAAAAAATGTGGACTGGTCAGTAGTAAGGGAGGGGTGAGAGGATTTAAGCTTTGCAGTAATGGGTTCTGCTGCTTCTGTTAGTGCATGTTTTGTGTGCTAGGATGTCTCCTGGTGGGCATTTTAGACTGCCTCAGCCTTAGCAGCTAATTGTAATTCAGTCTGTAGGTTCTGCAGAACAAATTCTGGCACATCCTGCTGTGCCAGATGAAGAGGTGACTGTCCCCATTTTCTACCCTGCCTCTTTGCCAGGGGTGACATCCCTTAGCTGTGTGCTGAAGGGAACTATACCTGTGCCTCCATTACGCCAACCTACGATCAGCGCCCAAGTGCATCTTCAAGGAAGAGTTAGAGTGAACTGGGGGCTGCATGGCTTAGCCCAGGAATGGCTGGAGCTCAGCTCAGCTGTTTCAGCCACAGCTCAGAGAAGCAAATCTGCTGGAAGACTGGGAGTGAGTTAAACCTAAGTCACTGGGTATAGTAGCATCAGAGACTATTCACAGGGAATACAGACTGCTTTCTGTTGGAAAAGCAGGGCATAATTGTTACTAATTTTACTTTTGTTCAGCTTTATAAAAGATACAGGCCCGCTGCTTCAACCTTCTGTGTATCTCCACAATGGTGAAAACTCAGTGAATGATTTTTTAACTTGATGTTGCCAAGATACTCTTCAAACAAAAGAATCCTGCCTGAGAAGCTGCTGGACCAGGGACGGTGGCACAGGAGAGGCAGTGAGCCAGATTTTGTCTCTTTTTAATTTTCTGAATTGCAGAATGTGATACAGGCTCTTCTACACCACACAGTGAAGGATGAATTTATAGGGACTGATCCCCAGTGACTCATATCAATGATGTAGCAGACATGACCCTTTCTGTCATCCAAACTGCACAGTGAAGAGCTCAAGCCTGTGCTGAGTGTACTCAGGTCTTTACTCTGAGTTCAGTCAGAGATATCTCTCCAGGGTGGCCTTGAGAGCTATCCTGGACCCTCCTGCAGCATGACATCCATATTTCCTTCTCCTCCCCTGTCTCTTTGATGTGTTCAGCTCCTAAGCTAGCTGGAGTGCTTCTTTGGATATTGAGGCTGAGCGCTCTGAAAGGTGCTCGAGGTTCATGGTCAGTCTGTGAGATCCTGGACACTTCAGTGATTTTCCAGAACAATCTGCAGGAGTTACAGATTAAAATAACACTTACTGCTCTGACTGCTGACTGCCTGAATACAACCCGTGTGACTGTGAGCTGAGCTGGACTCTAGCAGATCTCATTTCAATAATACTAGCCAGTGTTACCGTTTTGTGATCAAATCCTCTCCCATTCCAGCAGTCTCTTCCCTGTCACTGGTTTGTCAGCTAGATTTGTTAGGTCTGGAGCAAACAGCAGTGTTACTCTCAATATACAGAAAGCAGATATCAGAGGGGTAAAATTGGGTATGAAGTCTTAATAAAGAGGAAATTCTATCCTTCTACCACCATTTTTCACCAGCAGGTAACTAATAAGGAATAATTTTTTGCATAGAAACGCTTCGCTGTAGAACTGGACTCTAAAGAACAGCGATAATTGCTTCTGTGCGCTCCAATAATTGAATATAAATCAATTACCACCATTTTAGGTATTTGAACAGCTTGGTCTATGAAGAAAACCCTTTCTTTCCTGTTTAACAGCCAGACCTTTAGCTTCTTTGTTTATCCACATATCTGGGACAAATGATTCAAACTCAGTCATTAATTAGTGATTTTATCAAGATTTTCCTTTCAGAATGAAAAGGTCAGTGCACCCTTGAAGTGCCAGCAAAACAAATGTCTCCCATTGGCACATAAAGTCAAGGCTTGTGAGGAAGAAGCCTCAGAACATGACTTAGAGAGTAGAGGCTTAATTTGGCGTTGCTGCCTGTAAGAACATGCCTGATGTGCTAAGTACAAAGGTGATGGCCAGACAGCCTGAATTTTATCCAGAAGTCTGTGATAATCTTTTTATGGCTTAGATGATCTTCATGCCTAGAGCCAGCTGACAGAACATCAAGCACAGGGGTAAAGTAAAAGCCAGGCCAGGGGAGCACGGCCCTGACTTCAATATAATTTACTTTTATTGTAGTGTTCAGAGCCCCTTTGGTTGTCAGAGCTGCATGCTGGCTCCTGGATGCTTCTGGAGATGAGCCAGTGCTACAGCCTGTGGCAACTCCAAGATATGTGTTGTCTGGGCCAGTAGATGAGCCCTGCCAGGGAAGCAGGAACATGTTTTACTACAGAACAAATGCTACCTGACTAATCCAGACCAACTGGGATTATAAATAAGATACAATTTTGTTAAATAAGATGGGAGACATGAGTGATGAGGCAAAGAGAAATGTACAGTTCTTCCTGACAGAGGTAATTCAGATATCAGGCAATTGCCAAATTTAGCATCATGTTTGGATGCCACAATGATCCTTTCTAAACTTGAAATAGGTATTAATATTGCCACATTATTACCTGTATTGATATATTTTTCTTCTATCTATGCTAATTTTATCACTGCTTTAAAATCACCTCATTAAAAAAAAAAAAAAAAACCAAAAACCAAAAAACAAAAACCCCTTAGGAATAGAGACGTCCTGCTGCTGAGAGAAGAACTGGGAGCAGACAGAGAGACCCAAAATGAGCTGCTGGAACTATCCTTGCTTTAAATTAGAAGACAAAACACAGACAGCAGCTAAAAGTCACACAATATTCAACTTGAGTTTTTTTTCCTACACTGATTCACTCTCTTTTACTAGGAAATATGCTTTGTAGGGCAGGCACCCACCAGCTCTGATTCCAGTAAGTATTCCCTCTGCAGAAAATTTTTCTTGTATCAGACTGGACAAGAAAAAAAACATTCACTACCCTTGCTTAAGTCCCGGTAAAATGTGAGCTGCCACCGACAGGAGCTTCTCATCTAGGGAAAAGCTGCGGATAGAAGTCCTCTACAGCCCTCAAGTGGTTCGTTTTGCATCCTACGTGTACTGTGGGAACACATCGCCGCAGGTTTTGGCAAGAAAGCTCCTAGGGCAGGCATAACATTCCCTCTCAGAAAAGGCTCCCAGCCAACTTGCTGTGCTCTCCCCAGCCTCCCCCTCCCTTCCAGCCCCACCAGCGCAGGCAGGATGCGCTGTCTCCTGGCAGCTTCTTCAGCTAAGGGGCAAGCAAAAGCACAGAACATGTTTCAGATGGAGGTGCAAAGCGTCTCCTCAGCCCCTGGAGAAGACAGAGACAGCTGCTCTGACAAGTCACTGACCAGGTCAGTGTGTGCCCACTCCCCCACAGGTCCGTACGGGTGATGTGACAGCAGGGTACCTGAGGGATCAAGTGTGCAGGCTGCCAGTCTGTGGGCTTTGGCTCTCCATGTCTGGCTGCTTCTCGAAGGTAGTGATAGGGAAGAGCCCCTGACTCCTGCTGTCTCCAGGAGCCAAAGGGCCGTGGGCTAAAACTGGTCCAGAGCTGCTGGTCATGGATATCAGGTGGAAGGGGCTGTGCTGCCTGCCCCGGGGGCTGAGGGCAGGCAGAGCCAGGAGTGACAGCTCAAGTGACAGTGTTGCTCTCTGCTGCCTTCTCTCCCTGTGTGGAGCATCTGGGTGGGAAGGCAGCTGGAAAAGAGAAAGGAAGCCCTGCAAGAACACAGACACAAGAGAAGAGCTGTGGAACTCTTGAGGGAGGCTGGAGAGGAGCTGCTGTTCTGTTTAGGGGTCTTCTTCCCATTACCCTTATCACCAGTACCAAAGAGTCAGCACTGCCCTCTAGAGCTGTCCAGCTGTAAGCAGAGGAGTGCATCCCGAGTGTTTCCTAGGGAGAAATCCCATGGCTTAGTGAACAATAGAGTTGCTACCAGCTGGAGGGTTTTGCAATGTATTTATTTGCAGGTGCTGGGAAAGGGTTATCAATCTCCCATCCCATCCCATCCCATCCCATCCCATCCCATCCCATCCCATCCCATCCCATCCCATATCCCAATCCCATCCCATCCCACAGGTTTTTGTATAGGATAAAGCCAGTGTGTGGAGTACCACAATATAACAGTTGCCTGAATAGCCTCTCCTTTTTGCAAGGAAGCCCAGGTGGACCCACCATCCTGCTCCAAGCAGCTTTTTGTCTTGGTTCAGCAGGCTCTCTTCTTCCTGAGCTGCTCACTGACCTGTCCCTGTAGCCTGGTATCATTCCCTGTTTGTTCTCTTGGCCAAGCCCAGGGAAGTCTTGGGGCTTTACGAAAGATAA